GGGAGTGGGTTTTGGGGAGCCCAATACTGGGGGGGGGGTGGGAGCAGAGATTTGGGGGACAGGGACAGGGGAGTTCGGGTGCTCCAGGGTGGAGTGCCCCACAGGGTGAGGACAGGGCTCCCCCTCTGACCTCACCCCCCGGCAGGTGGAGACCATCGGAGATGCCTACATGGTGGCCTCAGGGCTGCCCCATCGGAACGGGAACCGGCACGCGGGCGAAATTGCCAACATGTCGCTGGACATCCTGAGCGCCGTCGGCTCCTTCCGCAAGCGCCACATGCCCGACGTGCCCGTCCGCATCCGCATCGGCCTGAACTCCGGTATGGCACGGGCAGGAGGGACACAGTGCCATGGCCATGCCCCCTCCCTGTGCCCCCTGAGCCTTGGCCACGTCCCCTCCTCCATGGCCACACCCCATCCTCCATGGACCTGCCCTATCTGCGTGCCTCCTCCCCAAGCCATGGCCACACCCCCTCTGTCTGCCTCTGCCACTTCATGATGGCTGTGCCCCTTATTTCTCTGCCCCCCCCGTGCCCCAGCTTGCCCCCATCTGTAGTTGTAGCATAATGGGGCCCTTCATTCCCACCCAGGAACCCCTCCCTACCCCCACCCATGGAGAGGTTCTGGTGTTAGCAGTGGGATCCCAGTACTTCCTCCGGGGTTTACTTGACTGAGTGGTGGTGGGGAATCAGGGCTGCAGAGCTGCGGTGCCCCCCACAACCTCCCTGTTCGATTGGGACTGGCTGGGCCCCCCTAGATAATGGGGTTCAGAGATAACTCCCCACTGAGATGCAGGGGGCATCTCCCCTCATCAGAGCAATGGGTTCAGGCTCTCTGCAATCTCAGGCAGCATCGCTGGGTCAGTCACGCCCAGGCCAGCACCCTGTAGCCTGTCCATCCGTCCATCCCACCGTAACCCATCTCCCGGCCTGTCTCCCCCAGGGCCCTGAGTGCCTGGTGTGGTAGGGCTCACCATGCCCCGGTACTGCCTCTTCGGGGACACCGTCAACACCGCCTCCCGCATGGAGTCCACCGGCCTGCGTGAGTCCCCCCCTCGTCCTCTGGCAGGGCCCGGGGCAGTGCTAGGGAGGGTGGGAGAGAATCTCCTGGGGTGGCATCCAAGGGTGTTTGTACGAGGGGGGCAGGGGATGTGTGGACAGAGCAGAGGGTGGGGATTTTGTTTGGGGATCAGGGATGCTCACCACACATGTCCCGGGTGCTTCCCCCAGCTTACCGGATCCACGTGAACATCCGCACGGTCACCATCCTGCATTCACTGAAGGAGGGATTCAAACTGGATGTTCGGGGCAAGACGGAGCTCAAGGTAACGGTGCCCCTCATTCCTGATCTGCAGCCCCTGCTAGCCCAGCCCTGGGCTCCCCCCAGCTCTGCCGGTGCCCCTCACTCCTGACCCGCAGCCCAACCCTGCCCTCCACCAGCTCTGCCAATGCCCCACACTCCCAACCCACAATCCCTGCTAGCCCAGCCCTGTGCCCCCCAGCTCTGTCAGTACCCCACACTCCCGACTCACAGCCCCTGCCACTCCAGCTCTGGGTTCGCAGTCTCTCTCTCTTTGCTTTGCCGTAGGGCAAAGGCATAGAAGACACGTACTGGCTGGTGGGACGAGATGGATTCAACAAACCCATCCCCACGCCCCCCGACCTGCAGCCGGGGTAAGAGCCTCATGGGCCTGGAGCCCCCTCTGACCTCCACGGGGGGATGGGAGGGGAAGGACAGGATGGGGTGGGTGGCCACCATCCATGCCCAGCCCTGAGGCCACCCTGAGAGGGGACCTGAGGGTAGAGGAGTGGGGCAGCCAGAGTCTTGAGGGAGATGGGAGGGGATGGCTGGAAAGAAATGAAGTGAGAGGAGGCTGGGAGGCAGGTCTCCTGGGTTTTCTCCCTTGCTCTGGGGGGGGAGGAGGGGCAGGGGGGTGAAGCAAGG